AAAAGACACATAAATGAATCAGAATAACACTGAATGTCTTTTTTTCTGTGTATACATATATATACAGCGTATATTTCTTGGCTGCAAATAAGAAACCGTTGTAATTTATCTGCCTTATCGAGCATGGCTAAGATTCAATATAGATTAAACTATCCAATCACAAATTAATTATCTAAGCAGATAAACGCCAAAATTAAAAAGATAATTAATAACAGCAGAGGCTGCAGCAGAGGGAGCATCGTGCGTTAATAGGTTGTCTTTTTCACTTGTACTTCCATTGCATTTTCATGTTTTTAAAGAAATGTTTTGCCTTATATTACCTTCACTTCAGATTTTTTTCACAAACCCTGATGAAATTAAATTATATGTACATTTACAAGTAAGCTGAACTTTAGGATCAGAATCATTACCTGAGCCTGGTCATCACACTGTCCACACTGTCCAGAGAGGATGATGGGGGTGTAACTAATGTAGTGAGGGGAGGACAACACAGAACTGGACACACATTCCACAATCACAGGAAGCACAGGAGCTTCGCACACAGTCACCTAAAGATAAGAGAGATAAGAGTCTTCTTTGAATAAATTTGTTGGGGTTCCTATGGTAAGTTCTTCCATAATTTCTCAAGTCTGCAAAACAATTTATTTGCAAGTGATATTCAACATGACTTCATATAGCTTTTCTCAACTGAAAAGCAGATACAAGAAAAAACATGCTTTTGCGTGAGAATGGAGTAAGGTTATGGGTAATACTCACTGTCTGGTTGACAGAGGCAGGTCTCTTCCCTGCTTTGTGTACTGTGAGGGTGAAAACGTAGACTGTGCCTGAGTGAAGCTGGGTGCTGAGTACAGTCATTTTACTGCTGTTAATCCCAATGGGCTGCTTTCCAAAATACGACTCAGTGGAGTGCTGAAAATACAAACACCCAGGTGTTAGTAACATCTACATATGTCTCAAGTCGGGATCCATTTGTTATATTATGATTCCTTTTCCCACTCATAATAATAGCAGTGGGAAAGGTGGGATAAGCGATTTTGGAGAACACCATGAAAAATACCATGAGATAAAGCGAACAACGACACAGCAATTACTGTAACTAACGTTAGCTAGTTTGCAAACTGTTGTTGCAGTTGCTGCTGTGAAGCTAACATGCAGAGAAGACAAGACAGTCCCAGAGCCAACACAGCAGCTCCAAACAGCAAAACTCACCACTCTCTGGCTGCTTTAGCTAACATCCCAACAACAGCATGTCTTGGCATACAAGAAAGTAGGCGGAATGTTATTTATTTGTTTCCCATTTACAGAGCCAGGCTTTTGTACAAACACCAGATTTTTTTTCAGCACACACACAAAATGGAAAGCTAGTGGACCATGGGGAGATATTTGCTGAATTTGACATAAAGACGTCTATTGGATTAGAACCGCTTATCCCACATTTAATGTGTATTAATTTAATTTGGCTTTAACATCATGAGACATTTACCACTGTCACAAAGGTCCAGTGATACTGCAGTGCATCCTCCACTCCTGGCTCTACGTCAGGGTCTTGGGACTCAGATCCGTCCAGAACAAGGTCACTGAGGCTGGGCCACAGTCTTTGTGAGCCTCCCTTGATGACAGCTACAAGTGGGGAGTGGACTACTGTAATGCTGGTTTTTCGTTGGACACGTAGAGGAGTCCCCTGGAGCGAAACAGTGAATACCAGGCAATACTTTCCCATATCGAGAGTGTGCTTTGGGAGCAAGAGAAAAGGTGAAGTTGCGTCTACCTGTCTTGTAAGAATGACTTTGTTCCCAGAGAATTCCAAGTTGGCATTGGTGCAATCTGACTTTTTGAGTATCTCCCATAGGTATGTGGTTTTGTAAGCAGAACACTTAATGTCCACATTTGCTTCAAAGAAACTCGGTCTAGACCTGAAGATGGTAGAATGGCTCTGTACAATTGAAGCTTGAAGGCTGGAACACTGGAGCTTCTCCACCTCCATGTGTAACAGTGTGGACACATGGCTGACACTGTTGTGAACCTTGACCATAACACTGTATTTCCCAGGAATATAATAAGTATGACAGACTCTGCTTAAGTCTGTCACTAGTGCTTCAGTGGAGTCTCCAAAGTCCCAGAGGTACCTGAGGTTGCTCCCTCCATTCACTGTTGCAGAAAATGTGACAGCATGCCCAACAAATATTCTTTCTGAGTGACAGACCAGCTTGACGTTCTTAACAGGCCACTGAACTGTAGCAGTATCATTTAGTATCTTGGAACAGAATCCATTGGTGGCTAACACGCTAACAGACAATGAACCATTCCCTGGTGAAGTAAAGATGACTTCTTGTCCCATCAGCCATGTGGGCTTAAACCCTGCCAAGTGAAATATCCAGGTGTAATTGGCTGGAAGTCCACTTTGAATTTCTGCCTTGAACTGGATTCCTTTCAGAGCCTCTAGAGCAGCAGAACAGCAGTTTAGAAGTCGCAAACCTTGAATATGCTCAGTGACCAGAATGCTGGAGGACACCTCTGCACTACTGACCTGATTCCAAGCTCTCACTGTAACTGTAAGTGTCCCTGCTGGAAGGCTTGATGTGGTGAGCCACCCTTTGAGAATACCCTGACTATGAGTCCAGTTTTCGTTTCTAAATGTTATAACAAAGCTTACATTGCTGCCGTCAGAGATTGTTGGAATAAAAGTAACATTTTCCTTGGTGCAGAACGAAGACTTGGAAATGTTCAGCATTAGACTTTTGATTGCATCCTGGACTGTAACAGTGTGGGAAACCAGCTGCCAATTGATCCAATTGGAGACATTCAAAGACACTTGATAAATGCCTGCATGTGGGAAAGTGTAGACAAAGGTCTGATTACTGGCAGTAAAAAGCGTGTTTTCTGCCCCTCTAATGTTCCAGTTCCAGTGCAGATCACTACCCTTCCAACTGAGGCCATGGAGAGGAACGACAGCACTTGTGGTGATATAAAATGGATGATTTCTTTCTTCAATTTCAAAGTCCACCTGTTGGACCTCCTCCTGAACATTAAAGTCTTTGGTGACATTGCTGTGGCTGAGGACATTCTGAACAGAAACTTTGAAAAGACAATGACCCAAACTTGTAAAGGTGTGGAGGAGAAAGGGCTCCTGTGTCTGCAGGGGTGGAAGATCAGATTTCACAAACCAAAGGTACTGTAGGTCTGACCCGGTAACCACAGATACAGAGATATTCACTACTTTACCTAATGCCACAATGTTTGATTGTGTTGTAATTAGTGCACTTGTTACACGCTGTACTGCCACTAAAGAAACAATGCTGGTGGCCTGACCCAACTTATTAGAAGCAGTTAGCTGAACTGAAATCCCACCAGGAGTTTCAGCTAACATATAAAAAAACTTTCCATCACCAGTAATTTGTCGATTTATTCCATTCTGTGTACCAAGCCAGTGATAAGTGACATTGGAGCCCTTGGTGAATGAAGCAATAAATGGCAGTTCCTCTTGGGTTGGTACATATTTCAGGTTTGTCAGGTGCTGACATTTAATCTGAAGACCCTCTATTCTTTCAAAGACCTCAATTAAAATAGCTGCCTCTTTTCTGCTCACCAAGTTCTGTGCTACAACCATCACTTGATACACTCCTGGTTTCAGGAAAGTATATCTAAACTGATAAGTCCCCTGTTTGGTTGAGGTCATACCATCCACAGTCCAGTAGTAGTTGGTGCTACTGATAGCACTGCTAATTGCTGAGATAAGAATTTCTTCTCCTGCTACAGCATAAGGCTGGTTGGTGTGAAGTGAAAGGTCTGAAACAGGAAGTAAAACATTTACTTTAATGGTCACAGAATCACGACTAACAGCGTTAAATGCTGTGGTTGTGATGGTGAACTGACCCGTCGAGGTAAAGACATGTGACACATTTTGCTTCTGCTCCAATGGAGAGCCATCTCCAAAGTCCCACAGCACTGACACATTGCTGCCAGTGCAACTAGCAACCCAAAATGATGCTAATGTATTGACCATCAGTGTGTCACTTTGACTATCATGCGCCACAGACAGGTCCCTCACAGGGTTCTGAATGGTGATACTAGCTGTGGCTGTTTTGTTGTTGACTTTGTTACTTGCCGTTACTGATACTTCTTCAATACCTTCATCTTTAAAGATGAAACACTTTTGAGCATTTTCTGTCATGGGAATGAGAGTAGAGGGCCGTTTAAACCATTTAAATTGGTAACCTGTCATCTGTTCCGGGAAAACTAACACTCTAAAGCATACCTCTTCTCCTACTGCCACTACTTCCTGTGGTGACTGCACTGTCATGTTAGTTATTGGTGCTTCGACACAGATACTCGTATCAAATGATACAGATGTAATAGAACTAAACACAGTCAAACTGATGTGAAAAATCCCTTGGCTTTGAAATGTGTGCATGACAGTTGACTGTCCCCTCACTACAGTCAGAGGCGATCCATCTCCAAACAGCCAATGGAAAGTAATAATAGATATGTTCCCATTCACCAGAGCTCTAAGCTGTATGTCTCTTCCACTCATGACACATTCTTTAGGGAGAACTCCACTAATAGCCAACCTATAGACCTCTACACTGATAGACTGATGAGCTTGGCTGACAGAATTCAAGACAGTTACATCCACTGTATAGTTCCCTGGTGACTTATAGATGTGGGAGGTTGAACCATCTGTAAGGTTTCCCTGCAATGACCCATCACCAAAGACAAAATTCCACTTGAGACTTGTACCAGTGGCCACTGAAGCTCTGAAGTCTGTAGCACAGCTTAGTTCACTGGGTCCATTGTAGCTGACCATTAATCCAGAGATTTTATCCATAATTTCCACCATGAGCCAGGTGGTCAGGACTGTAACAGCGTTGTTAGCACACACTGTGACATTATAAACCCCTGCAGAAGCAAACGTGTGGTTAATTTTATGGTTGATGCCTTCGACAGCTTTGCAGCCATCGCCAAAGTCCCAAGTGTAGATGACTGCATAGGAGGAGGGCTCAGCGGAAGCTTCCAGAAGAAGAGTCTGTTTGACGAGGGGCACGGGAAGGGAAGAGGAAATGAGGAGGTGATTTAATTGAGGACGGGCACTTATCTTCGTGGACACGTCAGTGTTGTCATATTGGTTGGCGACTTGAACATGAAGTGTATAGTCATCTGCATAAAACAAACACACAAGAAAATAGATTTTACTCTGATGGGCTGGATAATAAGGACAAAGCACAGTTTTTATCAGTGTCACTCTTATCACCAATGTCACCAAAATAAGGAATTTTCAAATTCTAAATGAAGCAGCTATTTAAAACAGATGGCAGAACATTTTACCAGCCAACCTTAAAAATGTTCTTACAGTTAATTGGATCTCTGCTTAATTGACTGTATCTTTAAAGCAGTAATAAACCTGCATTAAATGACTTTTTGGCTACTTTGAAGCAGGAGACTTAAGCTGTAAATACAACACACAACACTGACATATAATCACTATATAAATTTGATATGATGAACTTGTTAGCATATCACACATCCAGCAACATTAGCATGAACTTGGCAGTCAGGTGATAATTATCTGTGGGTTTTTCACAAGCAATCCGTCTCATGTTACACAACGTCATTTGATATATTGTAAAAATCGATAAGTGCAGCTTCGATTGTTTGTTTGTGTGTGTGTGTGTTTACCTGGGATGGAATATGTATAGTTCACCGAGTTGTGGACATACACCTGCTTCTCTCCTCTCTCCATAAGCCCTTCCATGGTCTGACATGGGGCAGACTGGGTGTGGATCACTTTGCTACTGCCATCCCCAAAATCCCACCTACATGGCATGCACCACATGGGAATTTGGGATAAGCTGAAAATACAACTTTACAGGTAACTTTCAATTATTTGTTCTAAAGTCAAGGTTACATGGTATGCCTTCCCAATGATTTTCTATGAGGATTTTTGAGGGTTATTTATGAAAATGCAATGTCTTACCTGAACGTGATTGGCAGGGAGATGTCCACTTTGACCCTAATGGTGTAGAGGTGTGTAGCATCCACAGCTACAACCTCCTTGACTAACAGAAACTCTGGCTCAGCCAGTGGGGTCATTTCATCAGCAGTGAGGAGGATTTGCTGGCTCTGGAAGCTCACAGGGTTGGAGGCTGTCACCTAGCAAAAAGATAGAAGTTTACTTCCCCTCTTTTTACAATTTATGGGGTTCCTTGAAAAAAGATCTCAAAATGTAATGTAGCAATATATTGTGAAGATGTATTTTTTTTTAAATAAAATAAAAAAATAAGTAACTGAGCATATATCATTATCATAAAGACAAATAAAGTATCTTACCCTGAGCTTATACTCTGCAGGTTTCTTGAAAACTACACTGTAAGATTCTCCTTCATGGGACAACATCTCCAGATTGTCAATCACCCATGTGAATTTGACTGAGGAACCACTCTGCACTTTGGCTATAAATGACTACAATGTAAAAAAATCAAAATGATACCAATGTGAGGGAATATATAATCAAACTACAAGTCCACATTCTTCTGATAGAATGTGAAAGGATAGACTAAGAGTCCATAGTCAGGCTAGCATTGTTAACATGCTCACAATGACAATATTAACGTGCCAATGTTTATAAGGTAAAAAACCCTGATGAAGGCCACAAGCCAAACTTGTTGGTCTCACAATAAGTTGTACTTGATGCATGTGTTGCTGGAGTTTTTGACTTCTTCAATGTTTACCATGTTCATCACTTTTGTCTAGCATGTTAGCGTGCTAACATTTGCTAATTAAAACTAAGGTGATGCAGAGGGAAATTTTTGTAGGTATTTGGTTTTAGACCAAAGTTTTGGACCTGAAATTTTGACCTGATGATGGCGCTACATAAAAAGTAAAAGGATCACCAAATTATTACAAAATGATCCCATGGAAAACATCAATGTCTGTACCCAATTTCACAGAAATCCTTCCACAGATTTTCAAGACATTTTCCTGAAAACCACGTTTAAACCTCTTCCAATAGAGGAACATCACCATAGTTACTTACACAAAGTATGAGCTAAGGCTTGATGCTTTGATGGGCGGAGCCTGATTCGACTGTCAATCTCACAGTCGTAGCTTCGCAGCAAAATGAGGATCATGCCATTTTGGCGATATGGGGGTGCTCAATGTCTTTCTTCTTTTACATAGAACTACCAGTTTTCTCCCAATAAGTTAATATACAGCCAATTACAATATACATTTCAACGTTTAATGTGTAAATAAACATGCACAAACACACACTGATTCGACTATGGGCAAGACTTGACAATTCTGATTTGACTATGTAAACTGTTAGTCGGGGACAGCCCTAGTATGAACCATGAATGCCTGTATGAATGTTAAATAGGAATCTGTCTAATAGCTGTTGATATATTTCAGTCTGGATCAAAGTGGTGAACTGACCGGCCAGTCTTGCAGTCTCATCAGCCACACTGCTAACGCGATAACTAAAAGTAATTGGTCAAATAAGACGAATGCGTGTGTTGTCAATATAATTTTGTCTTCTCACCTGTGCGGTCTCTACAAGCATCCTCAGGCATCCATGTGGCTTAACGCTAAGCCCTGTCACTGCCTTGTAGCCACAAACCTTCACACTCACACTCTGAGAGCTTACTGCATCCAACACACTGATGTTCAGCGTTTGAACCCCGACTGATGGCAACACCAGAGTCACAGAAGAGAACCAGTCATTGTGGGAGTATCTCTTACAGCCTGGCCAAGACTGAGCCACCTCTTCAGGGCAAGATGGATGGAAGGGGACCCCGGTCTGGAGAACTGGGGCTGACCATGAGCTCCTGGCTTTCTCTCCAAACAGGACCTTGACAACAACGAGTGTTGGGGCATCGATTTGGACATGAATTTGATTATTTTCATCGGGCACTGGGTGGATGACCATAAGCCCAAATTTAGATCTCGGATTCGGAGTAAGACCAGTTGTCTGGGCCCAAATATCTGGAGATGTGGTTGTGTCTCTGTGGGTGAAGCCAAAGTTATCATGCTCGGTACCTCTGTGAAGATTGTCCATGTACAGCATCCTCAGATCACACACCACCCCGTCTACCCACAGGCCTTCTTGGGGCAGGGAAGTGAGGCCTCCCTCCCACCAGCCTCCCCAGTTGGACCCTCTAAGGGACATGTAACTCTGGCGCCAAGGGGAGTTTAGAGAAACTTCTCTGTTCAGACAATGTAGGAATGTTCCAGAGTCGCGAGTGTGTTGTATAGCCACGATATCATCAGGGTACACCATGATTGCTCGATCTGGAAGAAGCAGCTGTTGCAGAAAAAACAGTAAACTGTGTAAGGAATCTATTTTTAAAAAAGCTGCAGGAAAGGCCAAGAACAAGCAACAACTCACTCTTATAGTTTTTGATTCAGAGCTAGGGTTTATTCTCAGAGGCAGGTCTGTCACCAGGTGGTAGAACGGCGGTATTGCAGGATATCTGGGCGGTAAAGTAAAGCCACGGCCCGTTACTGCGGAGTCATAGGGGCTGCAGGGACTGGTGTGGCGGACACAGGCCTCCAGGAGGTGGCACCAGTACTGGCCCATGCTGCAGCCTCCTGTGGTGTTACATAGTGGGACTGCTGAGCAACAGCTAAATGGATTAAGGAGAGAGCTGCAACCTGAGGAGCAAAGAGCAAATAATTACCTACAATAATAAACTTACTTTCAGAAAACCTCCATAGTAACTGCTGTACTGTACCTGGAGGTACCAGGTGGTGGTTGGGGTTGCAGTAGGGTCGGAGGATTTGGACACGGGCCAGAGAGGACACTGGGCTGGGCTGGACCACCAGCTCCACTGATACCAACTGACCTGCATGACTGAACCACATCCCTGGGAACAGCTGCATCTGTGGGTGTCAAAAAGAGCACCAGAATATAAACCAATCACCAGGGTTTGAAATAATTTTTGTGTGAAAGATTGTATAGTGCTGCTATGGAACTGTTTACCGTTTGATGTAGCCTGTGTGATATGTAATGCTATATTATTTAGGCATGTGTTCCAATCCTGTATTGGTGTATTTGCATTGCGGTGTGTTTGGCATTTTCCAGCAGTTCAAAGAAAAAATGCTACCATTTAAGAAAAGTAAAAACTAAACAAAAATAAACCCGTGTTGCAAATTTTTCTTCCTTTCTTTTTAATCATCTTCAGACTTCTCATGCGACTTCCTGGGCACTTCCAGTGTGACACTTTACTGACCTCCACTGTGAGTTGACCGATGTCTGGAACCTTGGAGAAGGGGTGTATCTGGGTCTGAGCATAGATGCCGGTCATGAGGACAACTCCAGTCACGAAACTGGCCACAGATGGTAAAGATTCTGCATGAAGAGGAATTAACCAAAATCACCTCACGGTAATTTCAAGACACATTGCAATATGTAGGCTATTGGGCTTGTGCAATATGTTAACTATGCGATGCTTAAGCTATTGGATTATTTAATATGTCATTTAGGCAAAACATATTAGAGGTGTGCAATATCTCATCGTACACTTACTGCAGGGAATGCAGCCGACAGGGTTGTTCAGTCAAAAACTGCCATTGGAAGAAGGAGTTAAAGTGCTTACTAAATAGGTATCTGTAATGTATATGAGGATATGTGTCGTGTTGCATGAGAGTATGTGTTGAGAGATGTTCATTTTCTGCATTTTGTGCTGTCTTTTTAAAGCTGCAGAACGGACAGAGTCCAAAACAAATTTCCCTTCAGGGACAATAAAGTCTATCTTATCTTAATATTATTAGCCACACATGAAGTGTTTTATATTAATGTGTGGCTTGTTTCACCAATGAAATAAAAGTCTTACCAGTTACATCTTTTTCACAGAGAAAGAGGTGTCTTCCAGCACATTGAGCCTTCCTCCACCGTTTCTGTGTCCCCAAGGCCATTTGAGTACATACCGCCTGACTTTCACTGGCTCCGGCCCACCATGATGGCCCTGCTGGCTTCAAAACCCCAACCTGGTCAGACCCTTCTCCATCTGATCCCTTCAGCCATACCCACACAGTGGTTTTCCTTAACCAGCACGAAAACAAAGGTGAAATGTTATGTTAATAGATATAAGCACATATTGTATAGATACGTGAAAGGAGACATTTTAGAAAGACTATTGTTTGTTTTAACACTCACACTGGAAAGGAGTAGTGGATGAAGTTTTGCAGCTCCAGGCTGTCAGCATAGGCCAGATCTCCTCCCTGAGTCTCTCTGCATGAATCCTGTGCTTCAGGCCATGAAAATGTCATCTCAGAGAGCCAATAGCATCGCTGGCTGGGAAGGTGGATCTGACCTCCTTTTGGACAAGGGATGTCCTCTGGAAGGCAACAAACACACTGAACCGATAGCATGCAAAAGGAGCCATCTGTCAACAATGGTATGTAACAATGCTGTAGCTTTGACAAAGAATCAAAGAAATAAAAAGAATGTGGGTAAATAAAACGAACCAAAGTCTTGAAAGATGAGCAAGCTGACTAACTCAATTGAACCTCTGATTTGTGTGTTTTTATTTACTATTTCTTTCAATGGTTAAGCTATGCTCAGGTTGTTTCCACTTGTACTATTCATTCATTAAACAGGTTGAGGTCATAAGTTAAATGATGAGAAGAGCAGGTTTAGCTCATCATAAGGCAGCCACAACAGATCTCACAGGACAGGTGTTTCACATTTTGCACATTTGCTGTTTCCTTTATTGCCTGTTAACTAGTGTGGCTTGTAATCCCCTGTTGATCTAATCAGGATCATTTGAGCTGAACACAAACAATACGATACACACCCAGCTTGACTGTTGAAACACTGGGGAACCAAAAACCACAAATGCTTTAAGTGAAAATGATCCCTTTTCATGTAACATGTCCAGTGTAGCACACAGGTCATTATTATCAGTGGTGGAAGAAGTATTCAGATTTTTTACTTACGTAAAAGGAGAAATACCACAATGTAAGAATCTTGCATTCAAACTGTGCTTGAGTATAAGTACAGAACAATTATCAGCAAAATATACTGACATGTACTGTACCCAAAGGAAAAGTACTCATTAAGCAGAAAAATGGCCTCCTATCAATTATTATGGATGCATCAATGTGTAAGCAGCTGTTAGGTGCTTTATTGTTCTACAATTCTAAATTCACATCTAGTTGAACTTTGTAAAATCTGAAAAATATAGTAACAACAGCTGAGTTAAAAAGTTAACTCAGTGGAGTAAAAAGTACAATATTTCCCTTTGAACTGCTGTAGATGTATGAAGTAGCATAAAACTGAAATAGCCTACTCGAGTAAAGTGCCTCGAAATTGTACCGGACTTGAGTAAATGCACTTTTCCACCACTGTTTATTAGTGAGCTTAAACTAAGATAAAGGCTAGTTGTTGATAATGCTGTAATAAATTGATAGATAAACTATAACTCATTAGTAAAAACTAATATTAAAAAGCACGTTAAAGTTTGAGTATGGGTATGAGTGACTGTAGTGATGCCCAGCCTGGGGGTTAGGATCCCCCAAGAGTCTCAAGAGAAATCGCACATGATAAAAAAAGAAAGAAGGAAAAAAACAAACAAGGGGAAAACATTTCTCTTACCTCAAAGTAGGTTCATTTTTGCAACCTTTCTGTTTTGTATTGTTTAAATGGAACCACCGAGTCACTGTATGTATTTCAACACAATTTAAAATTGCCACCTCTTCACTAAAACAATAGCCATAACAGCAGTTATAAAAACAAAAAATAATGGATGAATACATAAAATGTTAGTCAAAACTGCAGCAACCACATTATGACCCACTCCAATCGTCACCGCCTTCCAGTCCCAGAGGGTGAGGAGCAAGTTAGCACAACTAGCAACTAAACAGTGCATCAGTGTCCTTTACAAAGCAAAATGATCATTACTGATGTGGGAAACAGTATAAGTCACATAAAATAAATTGTCATGTCTTAAAGCATCAACCCAACTGAAGTCTCCAGCTCCAGGGTCGCTGTAGTTAACTCTGAACCCTCACCTCTCTGAAGGAGAAGCAAAACCTGAATCACCCAAAACAGACCATCATGTTTTTATTCGGTACAAAATGAAGCTTCTCACCTCCGGCTGCAGTGATCAGAACCACACTAAGAATCCACAGCGCCTGCTTTTGTGATGGAAGTGAACCTGTCATCTTGTAGAGCACATCATATCCTCCTTAAGAAAAAAAAAAACACTCTCTGCCCAATCACCACAGGAGCACTGTTGAAATCAATGCACTGCCATCGTTGCAGTAAATGTGCAGATTCTTGCAAAAGTTGAAAATGTTGTCTTCTTTTCAGTCCCTCTGAACGCGACTCTGTCTCTTCTACACATGCTCTCATTTCCCTCCAACAACACCCCCCCCCCCCTCCCCTCATCCTGCAAACACACTATGAGTTATGGTGGTGTCGTCGCTTTAAAGGCCTCTTCTCCACTCTCTCTGGGCGCCTGGGTGACTTCTACTTTGTCTCTCGGCAACAGCTATAGAAGGAGAGTGGACAGGGGAGGCCGGCGCTGCTCATTACCATGTTGTAAAACCTCAGTCAGATCCACTCACGCAGGATGCAGCTAAAGGGTCCTGACAGAAACAACTCTCAGAGAGCAGAGTCATTGTAGTATCACTGTTGGCTACAAATTGTTGATTTAAATATGCTTTAAGTATTTAGCCGGAGCAGTATGTATTTTTTTTGCTGTGTTGCCAAACCCTTTTTTTGTTTTGTATTCTTTTTCCTGCACTGTGCCCATGTCCACCAAGACCTCATTACTAACCAAACAAAGGCTCCTTGACGCACAAGCAAAAGACACAGACCTAGATTTAAAAGAAAGGATGCCATCTGGGTTGCCTGGAGAGGGAGCAGATAAAGCTGAGGGCAGTGATAAGACAACCATAGCAGGCGATTGTGAGTCCATTGCTATGGATACGATTGTATTTCTCTTTGAGAGACAGAACTTTTCCCATCACAGGAGCAAGGTTACACTGAACAGACTGCCAAATCCAACAGTGAAAATATTCAGTACATATACTCTAGTACTAGCCGACTTGGGATTTTCACCATTTCCATTTTATGCTATGTTGTATGTTCACTGCACTACATTTCTGACTTTTACTATTTACCCCTCATGACAATCCATGTTGTTAAATACTTAATAGTTCCCTGTGTGTTTTTATCACAGAAGTGTCTGAGTCACATAATACATTTTTAAAACATAAAAAGAACTAGTAAAAAAAATGTTAACAAGATATGACTAAAAATAGACAACTGTTTATTTACTGTTTATTTAACACATAAGTTTAAAACATCAAGAGTGAAATCTTTTGCATTTTTCAACAACAACAAAAAGACTTCTAAAATGAATGTAATACATCTTATCTCATGTCCCCTTTAGGGGTTGTGAACCATGAGTGTAATAGATTATTTTCCTACCTACAGGCATGAACATTAAATACACTGATACGACTACACCCTATAATTAGACAAAAGTGGTAGAGAACCTGCATATAAATAGAAGTAAATTGAAATGAAGTAAATTTATTGATAACAAATGAAGAAGTTCTACATTGTCTTTTACGAAACATATGAAACATTTGTAGAAAATTGCACAGTGATGTGAGGGGTGTACTGGCTGGGTATTGAATAAAACAGTAAAAGCCACAACACTTGACTGTGCTGCCTTCAGGTCCAGCCCTGGCAGACAGGAGAAACAAAACAGAGCAGTAGCAAGGCAAACATACCGAGGGCAGTCACAAAAGAAACAAGCCTGAAAATAGCAGCTTATTTTCTCTTTAAAATCAGCCAGGTCAAAACCATACAGTGCATGTGGCAGGCAGCATAATTATTTACTGCTTGCTGATTCAATCAACAAACGTATGGCATTATACTGGCTATTATATGTTTTTTTAATGCAACAATTTAATAATGAATGAGAAATTAAATGTGAAATATTGCTCAATTGATCAAACCAACTGGTGACTGCTCATCCATCTTGGGGAAGTAGTAGTGGAAGGCGTCTGTAATTCTTATGAAGAGCCTTAACCAGGGATCATTCTCAGGACGTCCACCTCAATGTTCTTGCTCCCTGCTCAGCCAGGGAGGCTGTTGTACAATCAACCCTCATTTGGCAGACATTCTTATCCAAAGTGACTCACATTTTTAAGAACAACATCCAAGCATCAGTAAAGCCTTAATACAGAGAGAGAGGCTGTGGAGAGAGAGATCTACAAGTAGATATCAGTAAGAGTAGCAATAAATACTAGTACAAGTAAATACTGTATGTTGTGAAGCGTGTATAGCGTGAAACCCTGTGTCCTACACGTACTCCTCTGTTGGTTTAAATCTCCATCTCTGCTGGCAGTTGTTTCTGGAGATAATTGTTTGTACCCAACCCCCTGGTCCAGCACATACTCTGCTGGCTCTCTATGATCTCTACAATAAAGCTCAACACTTCGTAGTCCATGTGACCCAGATAGAGGGGGTACCCTGTAGCGAGTTGTGGATTTGAATAGCTTTTTAGTATGACCTCTGGTGCGTTGCAACACGTGATCTGCACACAGACACCAGGCTGGACAGCAGACGCGCAAGGCTAAAGCCAATCAACTCGACTTTCAGTGGTGGCTGCTGGCGGTCCACAGTCATAACAATTTGTGGTTAGAGGTCTGCATGTAAAATTCCCAAGGACCTCAGGTGGGAGAGGGCTGTGGCCAGCTAATTTATGACTGGTCACAGGTCTGTCATGGGTCCTGATTCATCCTGATTCTTTCAGCCCACCATGTAAGTGTGTAGGCTTTGATCCAGAAGTTTGAAGTCAAGGCAGCTGTGATCCTGCAGAGGAAACTGCATGCTACTAATTTATCTAATGTTAAATTGTACCAAATTTGTAGACATTTGTTGTTTATTGACATTATCTAACAATACATGCAGTCATAGAATATATACAAGTGTTTCAATACCATTTTATACTGACTAATAGCACAATATCCAAGCTCCATCGTAATAGGATAAGTTACTTTTCTAGCATAAATGCTAACTTTATCACCAGAAGATCATAACCTGTGCAGGACAGTAAATCATGATAATAACTGTATTTTATCTTTGCTCAGATCTGGAGTTGTTTGCAAAATATATGCACGCCTTTCTCATGCTTGTAACTGAACGTAGCTAACGCCCCTGACATTTAACTTTAAATAAGCCAGCAAACTTGATACATCTGTCAGTCTTCTACTTTTAGCCTCCGGATTCAATCCATGACTGCATTTAATGTTAGACAATTTAAATAACATTTAACTGTAAACGTCAATGGATTCCACCACAGCCAGGCAGTCTACATCTATAATAAACTGGCGCATCTGTAAAGTTAGATTAAATTGTCCGTTGTCATTTATACATTTTTAATATATTATAGTTTCTTTTCTGTGTTTTAATATCGGTTGAAATCACATTGAAGTCACGTCGATTGTTAGTTAGGCTATCAGTTGTTTCAATAGTAATATTTGTTGAAATACCACTGAAGTCACATTCATCAGAGTCTGATGTTGATTCAATGAAATTAGCGTTGAGAGCAGAATGCTGATTCAACATAGTTTCGGTAATGTTTGCTATCTACCACTGGTGGATCGGCATTTGAGTATGGAAGGCAGATCAGACCAAGAGCTCTGGGTGACATCAGGGGATCACCAACATGAGTAGGATTCATCTTCAGTGTTCAAATTCTGTTTCAGTTTAGTCAATAGTTGACATATTTCAGTCTGTACTCAAGTGGCGGACTGACCAACTGACAGACCTACGCTGCCACTCTTAGAGCCATGCTGCTACTAGAAATCTATTAAAAACTTTGACAGCATACAGAGCTAGCATTTAATTTGACCTCTGACTTATGCATAAAATGTTCCTCACTCATTTCACCTTCAACTGAACAGCTGAAATTGGGAGCCACAAATTAAATTTACATTTAAAGAATGCAATAAAAGTATAATTAAATGTGCATATCAGTAATTCTGTTTCCTTATATTCTTGTTAAACAATGAATTAATAACATTAATTGTTCTTATTCCTTATTATTTTCTAATGTGTTTACCTATCACATTCCACCTTAAATATCATTCCTGCTTTACAACTTCCATTTTGAACTCACTCAAAATTAAAGTCATATTAGCTGTGTGACGCCTGAATTAATTAAGTAAAATTAAATTAAGCCTAAGCCACACAGAAAAAATTTACCAGTGGCAAACTGCAACAATAAAGTCCGGGGCTACATGTTGTTGTAGCAGTTAGGAACACTAGAGGGCAGCAATGCGACATGAAACTGTTCATCACCCAAACACGAAGAAGAAGACGACCAAACAGGAAGATGAAGAAGGCAGCTGATGGTGACATTTCTTAGGTAGGCTAATATAAACCGAAGAAAACATAACGGTGTAGCTTATTTACGTTGCCACAACTCATTTTAAAACAAGGCAGCGCGGGCTTTGCAACGCAAAATGTGCAGTTTAATATGTAACTGGTGGTTGTTTTAGCTGAATATTGGCGAAATTGTTCCTGTTGAGGAGCGCGTAACGTTAACGTTATATTAGCCTGATACTTGACGCTACGTTACTGTGTGTTGAACGGAGAGTCAGTAAATTAAATAACATTTTTAGCCAGTTATAAGTTTGCCATTCATTCAGTCGCGTTACACCAAGTCGCAGTTAAAAAACGTTTTATTTCACCATCCTTATGTCAGAAAACAACACCGCGTTAGGGGGTTATTGTACTTTAATTTTGCATCATCATGGATCATAGGGTTTTTTTTGTAGGCCTAATTGGCCAGAAGACCTTAATTATTTATAATCGAGATAAAGTTGTGACCTTCTGGTTGTGTATTTTAGTCGACAAGCCATTAAATTGTGAAACATTTTGAAGGGAGTTTGGTGTGGGTCTATAGAGGTGATGCAGCGCATGCAACGTCCTGACGCTTTCTCATCTGTGCCTATAGAGAGCATCTTTGCACCGCCTACAAGTTGTCGAGTGACAGTTCCACAGATCACTTTGTCTTTGTTCACGTTTCTCAGCAGGTTCTATGCTTCAACTAAGGACATCTGCAGAAGAAGAAAGTAGTTGTGAAATTTCCCAGCTCAGACAAGCAGTGTTACAAAACGATGACAGACTCCTTGATGAGATGCTCTGCCAAGAAATCTATAAGAAAGTCATCAACTGCAGAGGTGGCTGGGGCATCGCAGGCACGCCTCTACACGCTGCGGTGTCTAAAGGCCACCTCAGCTGTCTGCAGGTCCTGCTAGCCCACGGTGCCCTGTTGGACTGTGTAGATGTCAAGGCTCAGACGCCTCTCTTCGCAGCCGTTCGTGGGAAATACCTGGACTGTGTCTTAGCGCTCCTCAAAGCTGGTGCCAACCCCAACGGGAGCTCATCCAACAACTGCTCACCTGTCCTCACTGCTGCTCGGGAGGGAGATGCGGAGATATTAAAGGTACTGCTTAAACACGGCGCCGAGGTGAACTCTCGCTCCAAAGTCCTGCTGTGGACTTCCAGCGCAAGGGTATCCAGCGGGCCGCTGTACCTTGCTGCCGTTTACGGACACATGGAATGTTTCAAACTACTGCTCCTCTATGGGGCAGACCCAGATTATAACTGCACAGATGCAAAGCTGCTGAGTTCCATCAAGCAGCCCAAAACAGTGCTGGAGATGTGCCTCAGGCATGGCTGCGGCGTGGAGTACATCCAGCTTCTGATCGACTTTGGTGCAAACGTCTACCTCCCTACGCTGATCATCGAGAAGTCCACGAAGCAGAATGAGGCTGTGGAGCTGCTTTTGCAGGAAAGAGGTATTGAGTGGCTGTGCATAATTACACATTTTATATTCATGATCCTTAACCTTCCTGTGTGGTACCCTGCTCCTGCAATATGATGGATTTCAACAAAGTAAGACTAAAAGCCATTGCATACTTCCTTTAGCTAACAAGACATGTGTGTATCTTGTTAAAGGGATGCACTGAAATAAAATAAGAGACAGTTAATTATATTAATTTGTGGTATCCCAGTGGTAACTCTTTTCCTGTCTTTAGGAAATCCAAAGGCCTTGACTTCACAGTGCCGACTCACCGTCCGAAGATACCTCAAAAAGATCAACAAGATCCACTCTATCGACCAGCTGGAAATGCCAACAAGTCTCATTAACTTCCTGCAACACAAGCCTGTCCCAGTCACTGTCCTGTAGCTATGTGAGCTGAAGGCACATTATGTACATGTATTTTTATTTAGGCTAAAGCTTTTTGTTTTATTTGTAGATTATGAGCTACCTTTTATCACTTCTGTCTGTTCATGTGCTGCTCTGTTAAGCCTGATTGTTAACTCAAAACATTAAATATGTGGATCAGTGGTGTGCACTTAGGTTTTATTATTAGTACCTACCCTGTAGCTGTTGGAAGACTTCTCTATGGAAACGGCTTCTTGTACAGTTCTTTGTCACATGTTCATCGCAAGTTAGTTCCTTTTTTTGAAAGAGCTGTTTGTCCTATGAAACCAACAAGCTTGCCTCTGTCCATTAAAATGCATGCACAAAGCCTTAAAACGAATCGAGGTCAGTACATATTAAGCCGCTCATAGATTTAAGTTGGTCTTACATGTGCAGAAATTATAATTAGAACAAAAATATTTTGCTCTTATTCCTCCCTAAACCTTCCCAAGTGTTCAGTTGGGAGTGATACACACTTAACCTCACCTACCACACAAAAAAAGTGATTGTACTGAATGTCATTAACCACATTTATAATGTATATATTATGAAAGAATTCAAGTTAGTTGAAAAGACAGTAAGTAAGTAAATGTTATTACAGTTTTGTGTATATAGCAGTACATTTAAATTAAAATTGCGCAACACACTACTTTAGAATTCGTTATTCAAATTTACGCATAATGCGATTAATCGTTTTCAAAATAGGAGGCCAAACTGTTTCAGGGGAGGCTCATTGAATGGAAGTACACAAAAAAACACATTACTTATTACTTTATTAATAGCTTTCAAAAGGAGATCACAGAGCCTAAATGTGTGTGATTTAATTAAAGGAAGTTCAGAGATACAGGAGTTATGGGGAATCAGACTCTAAGGACCTGTTTGTTATGTATTTGGTGTAGTCTCAAGTTATGTCAAACAGCAGTATTAGGCTGTCTTGGCCCCATTGTTGAGTGTCTATGGGATCAAATAACATTATCGTGATCCCATAGGCCTCCAGGTATTGAGCACAACTAAACAAGTAAACTAAGGCACCTTGTTCAAAGGTTTGTCTGATGGGAGGCCCCCAGTCTGAGTTTGAAAAGCCCTGCTCTAGGGGCCACGAAAATCTGCACAAAATTTCATGGTCATTTGTTGAGATATTTCAGCCAGGACCAAAGTGGAGAATCAACCGGCCGATCGCCATCAGCAGCGCCATGCTGCTAGCACAACCAACTAAAACAGCAACGAACAAACAAACATGTATTTGATTCACGTACAAACATTTTATAGAATCTACACAGAAGTTTGTTAAGATTTTATGAGTATTATCCAAAATACATATTGATATTGTCAGCATTAGCTACATAAGCTTTACTCTTGCATGTTTCAATAAACTGATGCATGCAAGTGTCAGCATGACTTGGTGTGCATGAAGCGTTGAGGTTTGGATATTGGTTGATTCAGTGCTTGATGGAGGGTATTATGGGTAGACTAATATTTAAAAAAATTTTTTTTTAGAAGTCACTGCATTCAGCACGTACGATCACATTAAGACTTTGCTTATTTATACAAACTTCTAAGGCCTACTTTTACTCTTACCAAGAGTTCTTTTGACTCATTATTAAGTTTAAGACCATTCCTTAGAAGTTTCATGCATACCAGCTCAAAGCTACACGCAGCAACCAGAGACAAAGAAAACCACAGGAGCTTATTTTTAGGTTTCGTAGGATCTGTTAACTCTGGCATGAAATGAATGTCAGAATTGTGTCTCTCTAGAAAAGGCAGATGGATAAAAAAAACATACTGAGAATTACTCTGTTGTTTAATTATATAAATACTTCACACTATTCAGTGGTAACTTCATCAGCCTTTAAATAATTAGACATGGACCACAACACATGATTCTTCAGATGACAGGAGACTGTTTGTGCCATGAAAAAGGCACTACACTTGGTTTAAAAGGAGAGTGTGTCATTTATATGAGTTTGTTATGGAAGAGGATAAAGTAAATTATGTGGTAATAATGTCTGGATAGTCCACAAATTGCGTCCAAAAAGTGAACTTCGTAAAAGTCACAATTGCGTAGACACAAACAAAAAGTCTTTTGGAATTTCATGTTTCAGTACACCATAATCACATTGTACCTTGCTGTTTTTTCTTCGCAGTGACGACGATACAGCAGGAGTCAAGCTAAATCTGATCTCATTGTTCAATAAATCACCAAACACCAGACTTCAAGTATTGCCATTATGAGGAAATACAAAAAACTGGAAGAAGTAAACTAATAGAAAATAACATTCATTCATTCATTGTTAAACTTTTGTTTTGAAATAATAGTTTTGAAATATCAAAAAGCCATATCCCCTCAGCAAAACATTCACACAAGCTCTGGAATCAGGAGAATATTCATTAAATATTTATAAATTCATTCCTAAATGACATGAAAAAAATGACAGCTGCTCTTAGGAATTGACTGCTAGCATGAAAATAAATGCAAGATAACTATTCAAGTAGAGCCATCCTCACAACATGTTTCACAAAATAGTTCTGTGATTCTGTTATCAATGCTGAATTTCAAGTAGAGACAATTCAAACTAAATAGACAGTGTTTCAGAATAAAACACTTAATTTGGTCCCTTTAAAAAAAAACTGAGGTCAGCAGCACTGTGATGACATCATGGTCATTGAGGCTTCTGTTGAAATGCTGCCAGTTGTCACGGTGACCTTAGCCCAGCCCTACGTCTAGTGACATCATCACTACGAAGCCCAAGATGGAGGTCCAGGATGCCAGCTTCCCGTTTCCACTGGTGGCGCCAAGTTAGAGTAAAGAAATTAGTTAGAGACAGATGCTCAAAGACTTGTGTTTCACTCTTTAATCTAGCTGCTCTGAAAATTGCCATCCACCCCCCCACAGTTCTACCTTAATTCCTCCTTTTCCTTCTCACCTGACTTGAGCCTCTGGTATGATGTCATCAACCACCACGTAAACCATAGCCCCGGCAGCGAACGCCAATGCATATGGCAACAGAGGTTCTGCCAAGACAACCGCAAAGGCGCCCAGCAACCCAGCGATGGGCTCTACCATGCCGCTTAGCTGGCCATACCTGACGGGGAAACAGCAAAAGTCAAGTTACAGTGTCCACATTTATATTGAAAGTATTGTATCTGTACTCAGCCCAAGCTTGTGTACAGTGTAACTATTGTACTGTCTGAAAGTCTTTAGACACAGACACACTTACCAGAAGGCTTTCCATGTCGAGACCCCTGAACCCCGGAGTGGCAGGCTCACTGCCAAGCCTTCTGGGAAATTCTGGATGCCAATACCGATGGCCAAATTTCTGAGAGGACAAAAACAAAACAAACAAAATAAATAAAACAGTCAGACCATACCTCTTTCTGATAAATATTAAGAACCTAACTCTTAAGGTCCTACTGTATGGTTTAGTGCTAGGGTATTTTGTGATATAGTTTAATTACTAACCGACAGGGTGCAGTGCCGCACACATTACTCTGTTTGCATCTAGCTTAGTTTGCCTCTGCATATTAATGAAATGAAAAAGTAAAAACAAATACAGACTGTCCCTGAAACCATAAACAAGACAATCTAAGAATCTTGAGCCATGCTAGCGGCTCTGTGAGGCTAAGCTCGGCAAGCTTTGAGTGAAAGTGCTCAGACTGACAACACTAACACGCTGACATTAAGCAGCTGTATATTCGACCATGTTTACCATCCAAGTTTAGCTTGTAAGCATGCTAACTTAGCATTGCTAATTAGCCATATACACAAAGTACAGCTGAGGCTGATGGGAATGTCATTAGTTGTTCAGGTATTTGGTCAGGAACCAAAGTTTTGTAGGAAGAAAATTTATTAATAAACAGATATGTAAATGTAATCAAAGCACAAAATGCTATATATATATGCTAATATATTGTGTACAGACTTCAGTGGAAAAATGAAAAATTCAGGTCCAGGACCAAATGCCTTCAACAATCCCATCAGTCATAGCTGTACTTTGGGTTTAGCGCTAATTAGAAAATGTTAGCATATAACACACTAAACTGACATCTAAACTAGACATCATCATCATGTTAGCTTTGTCATTGTGAGCATGTTAGCATTTACAGTAGCCCCGAGCACTGCTGTGCCAAAGTACAGCTTCACAGAGCAGTTGTAGACTCCTAAGTCTTGTTAAGTCAGATTCAACCCTTCAGAAAATCAAAACACAATCTGATCATATCAGAGAAATTAATATAATGGGAATATTTATGAATTCTACAGTATAAAACAGAAGTGTTGTACAGTAGTTTTGTTCAAAGTGAAATGTTCAACTTCATTTTCTTGTATTCCACCAAACCACAGGCACAGCTGAAATGTTGCAGAGGGCGTTTGCAAAGGAGAAAGCTAACAAGGTGATCTTTCTGAGGGGTATTGAGGTTATCTATTGTAGTCATCGTTTTGAACTGACTCATTTAATTACAGCAGGAAGGAACATTTAATTAATGTTTTAGTATTTGAAATAAATATCTTCAATTTCATTATGGAAGAATTTAGGAAAAACTATGATGTTCCCTTTAATACTTGACCAACATGTGATGTGAGAACAAAATGTGCTTTCATAAATTTCAACAATCCACTCCACTGTCGCGGTCTGGGACCTGAGGAGTACTTGATACATCAGGCTTGTGTACAGGGGGCAGATGTGTCCAGAGCCATGCAAGCAGCTCAACCCTCTTCTGGAGAAATACAAGAGCTACCTAAAAACTGCGGTATTTCTTCAATGATAATGATGTGATCGTTGTGCGTTGTCGTCTGCACCACAAAGACAACCAGATGTTTAACCTGTTACTTCAGTGTTTGGCTGAGCAGAAAGAGCATTGTTTCCATAGATGTAAAGTAGCTGAGACTATGTTTTAACAGTTATTAAGTTACTTTTAATTATGTTTAAGAGTTATTTCTCAGACTTGACAGCACAGATTTCAAGACAAAATCGCACCTTTCGTATCCAAATCTGATGGATCTATGCTTATGAAGCCATAAGGCCGTCAGAAAATTGCCCTTGTGGTATTTCACAGGAAAAAGCTTACACCAAATTTCCAATAAAATATAAAAGATTAGTATTTAAAAATGAGACAAATGAAGTCACCTTAGACAGGCTCAGTCTGGTGGCGTTGTGCTTAAGCAGCATACTCCGCAGAGGCACACAGATAAAAAATTGATTGATCTGAGTAGTAAAATGGTAAAATACCACAGTGACACCTGTTTTGTTTAGACAGGGCTCTCCAGCCAAACAACTGCCAACTCTGTCTGTAACCACTAGATGTCAGCAGCACACAGCACAACTGCAATGGGCAAAATTTCCATCTGTGCTCATATTCTCACCTTAACTTAAAAACACACTAATCCTTAAAGCTGGAATGAGAAGTTAGAAGCACATTTTGTTCGATTTGTTGAAATTCTTTTTACATCTTGAAAGCAATCAATAAAAATGTGACACAAAAACACAGTATTGTTTTAAGCAATTTTTCATAACAATAGCTAATCTCTTGATTAAATACTTGGTAGGTTTAATAATAGTTTATTTACAGCAGGTACCTTTAACACAATTCTTTAATTAAACCGCTACCTGTTAACTTTACTATTTGTTTAATACAAAACACTTGTGACACTGTAGGTTACAAAAGGTTATCCCCTTCAAGTACGTATGACAAACTAAAAAGAACATAGCTACTTGTGATGTGTTTTATTTCCAGTTCATGCTTTTTCAGGCAGTTCAAAACTTGATGAATACCATTTGCAGTTTCATCACTATCTTCATAAAAGTCCAGTAACTTACACCGCACTCCATCAAACATAAAAATATCTCATACTGGAAACATTTTGCCTTGTTTGAGGCGTCGGTGGCAACAGAGTACAACACAGGCTCACCTTCAGTCAGGGATAGATCATTAGATATCCCGCACAGACTTTGGTCCAAAAACATTCATTGTGATCATCTCAGCTTTTGTTCTGCACAACATTTGAGTCATGAAACAACGCACTGTTTAGCTTAACAAGACAGTCGGTCCGTGTTTGACAGTGTGATACACGTACGAGGCTTCATTTTGTCATATAACGTATACTGAGGCGCGTGAGGGACGGCTGTGATTGGATGATGACAGGTGTCGGTGACCCTTGTCAAGTGTCGTGATCAGCACTGCTGCTGTTGCTGTTGTATCAGTCAGTGGTTATGTCAGCGTAGTAGTCAAAAAACGGGACAAGAGAGGGACAAATCATTTAGGCCTAATATAAGGGACATCCCGGCTAATACGGGACAGTTGGCAACCTTAATACTACTACCATCATCAACTGTATACAAAAGCTTGAATTGACTGAAACATCTCAACTATTCGATGGATTGCCATGACATTTGGTACAGATATCCATGGTGCCCAGAGGATGAATCTAATGAAATTCCCATTAGCCTCAGCTGTACTTTAAGGTTTACTGTATAAGATGGTGAAGGTAGTGAACATTATACCTGTCAAACAACTAAATGTTTTCAGCATTTTCACTGTGAGCATGTTAGCGTGGTGACATTAGCATTTAGCTCAGAGCACCTCTGTGCTTAAGTACAGCCACACAGAACCTCTAGCATGGATGTAGGCTTGTTATTCTTATGACCAATTTCTGAAATTGGTATTTGGCCCACTTGGTTCAAAAGTATCTTTCACTCTCCTGAATAATATTTGCTTGTGCTGCTGCCACAAACCTATAACCAGCAAGGATCTTCCTTCATCTTGATATTTTGACGTTGAATGTGATGGACTATGTCATACACTCTGTCTTTCATATGAATTTATAGCTAGATTGGAAATGCTGAGATTACAGAGCCAGTTTCAGTAGACTTCTTCAGATTTAGTGAAGCCAAAGATAGTGATAGTGGACACTTCATGACACAGAATAGCAGAACAGCAGCAACAGCAAAACAGAAATGGACCAGTCATTGCAGAGAGGCTAGTGGAACTGGACAAGTACTCTGAATTGCTTTTCAGTTTACAATAAAAGCATCATTGACAGGCAAAAACAAAATAAATTTCTTAATAGAAAAATTAAGTGCTAATTAGTTTGTGATTCAAAGAATAAAATCAAAAATTGATTTATGATATATTGAACATTTGTTATATTGTCATTGAGGAAAATTACATCGAGATAATTATCATTATTGTTTTATTGCCCAGCCCTACACACACACACAAAAAATTGACTCACATGGAAAAATACTCTTCACTCTTCATCACCCAACATCCAATCAATTATTCATTTTCACAGCCCTTTTATATAATAATTAAATTTATTGATTACATTATAAATATCTGCACATGGATCACTGGGAGTTTATTAGGAAAACAAATCAAATCATACTGTAAATCACAGGCTATATTAGTAAGTGTTACCCCTTTTTTGCTATGTTTCTTCTTGCTCAAGAGATAATTACTGTATGTTCACTTTGATCCTCTTAAATGGTTTCACAGAGCTCAAGATGTACTGACGGACACTGCATCTGCTGCCTAAACGCCACTGCTCTCTGCAGTACTATAATGTAACCACTAGATGTCAGAAGCACGCAACAGCAGCATAGTTATGGGCACAGGTGTAGAACCTGACCACATTCTTACCAGGACCTGAAACACATAAACCTTACCTAAAGGTAACCAATGTCAAGGCTCATATAAAAAATAAAATAATACTGAATCGCATGGCTACCAACTGTTCCAAGTGTGGTAAACCAATCACAGTGCTTAAACAGATCATCCTGGTGGGATCCATAATTTTGTCTCCATCTGCGACGCTGTACAGTTTGCCTACTGTTCACATTCACTGGGCTCTTAAACTGGCACTGATAACAACAGGAATTACTGGAATTGCCAGGGCCATCAATAAATTAGGTATGCATTAGCACTTATTTACTGTATGTGTGTTTCATTTCAATCTTACCTGGCTCTTTCAAAAGTAGCAGATGAAGTCTTTCCAATGGCTCCGAATCCAACCCCCACAGCCAAACCCTCTGCAGATAAAAAACACAGACAATCGATCCTTGTAGTGTAGTGATTTGTCCTTTGACTTGTTTGAAGCACTACATGGAAAAAGCAACATTTTAAGAGGAAGGGACAGTATTGGCAGTGTAGATGGCTTGTTCTCTCAAACAGAACACTTTTCAGCAACAGTCTGTGGGAATCTCTACTCCAATAAATGCACTGTATATTTAGGGGCCAGGCAGCTCTGCCTGAAATGTTCAGATGCTTTGAGCTGGCAGGAATTAAAGTAATAAAGTCCATCACTCTGTTTTTTTTTTTAAACTGTAAAACTTACCAGCAGATCCTTTAAGTCCTGTAAGTTGCCTCCATGGATCGGACTAGTTTGTCCAGCACATCCCACAGATGCTCGATTGAGATCTGGGAAATGTGGAGGCCTAGTCAACAACTTGAACTTATTGCTGTGTTCCTCAGACCATTCCTGAACCATTTTTGCTTTGCGGCAGGGAGAATATCCTTCTGAAAGAGGCCATTGCCTTCAGGGAATACCGTTTTCCTGAAAAGGTGTACATGGTCTTGTAGCAGTCCGTATGCATTTGCTGCTATTTTAATTTATTTTCCATTCTGGAAGGCAGAAGAAGAGGCGCATACCTGCCCGGGGGACTCACTTCCACAGACAAAGTCAGCCTGTTGCTCTGTCCTTTGGGACCTTCTGAGACCTCTATTGCTTGTCTCTTTTGTCTACCTTTGAGAGCGATATAGCCTTGCCTTCTTCCCATAGTGCATCCTGTTGACATGTGTTATCTAGGTAAGAGGCGCACACGCACCTGGCCATCCATGTGATCTAAGAGTTCTGATGCTCACGTGCCCATTGTGGGCTCTTTCGGTAGTGGACAGGGGTCAGCGTAGGCACCCTGACTGGTCTGCGGCTACGCAGCCCCATGCGATGCACTTTGTGTTCTGACACCTTTCTATCAGAACCAGCATTAACTTTTTCAGCAATTTGACCAACAGTAGCTCGTCTGCTGGGCCAGACCACACGGGCCAGCCTTTGCCCCCCACGTTGCTGCCAAATATATCCAAACCCACTGACAGGTGCCATGGTAACGAGATAATCAGTGTTATTCACCTGTCAGTGGTCATAATGTTATGGCTGATCATTGTAGAGGTAGTGTGGTAAATCTCAGAATTGGATCTCAAAAAAGAATTTTTGACAGTAATTTTGAATTCTTCATCATGTAAACTATTGCAGTCAATAAAAATAGAGCATCTTTAAACATGAGTCTTTCAACTTTCAGCAATCAATCATTGTAAAAGGAAATTACATCTCACAGACATATCTGTTGTCTAGATGAAGTGAAGTACACAAATTCTCAATATTTTGTCTTGATAAAATATCATTTTTGACACTGTTTGAAATCTGCCTTTGGATGCTATCATGGTGATTGCCTACGTCATAGTATGAAGCCACCAATAGTTTCTCACTTGGCAGGTAGCACCACAGGATCACAACTTGTCCTTGGTGTTTTTATGGTTGTGCGTTTGGAATGCAAAAGAAACATGCGAATGCCTACTCATTGTGCTGTGTGGACTATATCAAGGTTTAATGACAATTTTGGTCCGGATGTTCTGCTGCCCTTCTCCATTTCTCATTTGCCTTCCTCCTCTTCCTCCTTCTTCCTCCTCAAAATGATATAGTCAAAATGCTGCAGCCAGGCTTTTAGCTCGCACTGAGAGGAGTGACCACATCACACAAATCCTAGCTGCACTTCACTGGTTACCTGTGAGTTTTAAAATTGATTTTAAGATTTTACTACTTGTTTTTAAGGCCCTGAATGGCCAGGCTCCTGCCTACATCTGTGATTTGTTAACTCCCTACAAGCCAGACCGTTGCTTGAGATCCTCTGGCAAGGCTCTACTAATAGTTCCTAAGTCTTGCTTTGTCCCTAAAGGTGACCGAGCCTTTCGGGCCCCTCAGTTGTGGAACTCCCTGCCCGGAGATCTCAGACAGGCAAACTCAGTGGCCTCTTTTAAATCTCTTCACAAGTCTCACTTTTATCGCTTGCCGTTTTTATGAACATTATATACTTGCTGTTATTGTATTATCTAATGCTGATTTTATTGTTGATTTTTTATTTATTTTATCATCATTATCATTTATATTTACTGTACAGCACTTTGTAACTTGTGCTATACAAATAAAGTTATTATTATTAATATAGTCAGGTTTCTACTGATGAAACCTGATACTGAGGTTTCTTCTCTCTCTAACCATATCTGCAGAGGCAACCCTTGTGGAACGTGGACTCCACAGAATGAAACACATTTGATAAACTACTGATCCATAACTCAGAGTAAATGTGAGAGATGAAGTCTACCCTTTTACTGTAAAGTTCTCCAACTGTGACTATGAAGAGTACTACAACAGGAAAGCTATAAAGAGGGATTTCTACAGGTGTGTTTTTTTACCCCTTGTCCATTCCCTCTTTGCACGCTCTGAGCAGCTTCGCTCTCCTCTGATGTCCCATTTGTCTCATTGAAATGCCTGTCATGCACACTTACAGTACACACCATTCAAATTGAAAGTGAAAAGGTCACAGTGTGGGATATATCTATGAGTGTATTCATGTGTTTGATAAGTGTGTGAGTGTGTGTGAGTGTGTGTGTGTGTGTGTGTGTTGGGGGGGGGGGGTCATGTGCATGTGTCAGTCAGTTATATAGGCTATTTTGTCTTTCACAATAAAAAGGCAGAGAAACATTATTACGACTACTTACATATACTGACAAGCAGTCGTCTCCTTTTATGCCAGCAACAGCAGGTTATTGCAATGCGAAAACATGCCAATTTCCTGACTTGATTGCATTGCTAGCATTGAAAAACAAGATAAAAGGAGTTCAAGGAGTTGTGCCCACAGGTAGCCTAAAGCTTACACCTAACATGTCCTACTGTGAGAGGGCTAAATGCTAAAAGCTTTCTATTTATGCAAGAACATGGCCATCTCCATAGTCAGGCCATTTTTGCCTGACTAATGCTAATCACTTATGTAAAGATGCTTCTCCACTTTCTTCTGTTCAGCAATTGTGTTTGGTGCTAAGTGAGCATTACGATTCTTCCAGACAGCAAGCAGTTAATGCAAATGTAAATGTTCCATATTTGTATAGCGCCTTTCCGACCACTCAAAGCACTTTTACACTACATCTACATTCACCATTCACACATTCATACACTGAGCTTAAGTGAGCTGAGCCTACACTGGTGGAACAGCAGCCAGGGGCAATTCGGCGTTCAGTATCTTGCCCAAGGACACTTCGACATGCAGCCGGGTATTGAACCGCTGACCTTCTGATTAACGGCCAACCCACTCTCCTCCTGAGCCACAGCCATCCTCTGTGATGCATCACTAGGTATCACAATTTTCTAGACTACATTCAGGGTTTTAGCAAAAATTTACTGTCTTGGCAAAAGTTAGATGAGATAATTGATAGGTTAGATAGTCACCGTGAAGTTGCCAGGCAACCAGCGGAAACTGCAGAATGGCACTGGACGCAGCCAAGAAATAATCCAGCACATAAACCCTTGTAAAACCACAATGTGTGGTTTCTACAGATGGATGTTTGTACCAATGAAACCAGTGAGATATAACATGTTAATTACTGAGCTTTAGAGGTGGTGATAGACTTTGTTAACAGAGCCAAGCTAGCTGTTTCCCTCAGTTTCCGGTCACTGTGCTAAACTAAGCTAAGCTAACCTGCTGCAGCTTAAAGTGGTGTCAATCATCTGATCTAACTCTTGGCAAGAAAGTGCACAAGCATGCTTTCCCAAAATGTCAATCTATTCCCTTGGTTCCTGTGGTGGCACGGCAAGCTATAGCGGGCAGCTGGAAAGAATCATTAACATAGGTGATCCCTCACCATGCTGCCGCCACATTTACACTGGTAACAACTGTTTTGACAGTATGAAAGCCTTTTTACAGCCTCACAGAACACGGGGTAACTGTAGACTTTTAGTTTTGATTAAACGTTGCGAATGGAGTCAGTGTCATAAGCACAAAATTAAAAGTCAGGCTTTAATAGTAGTACTAATTATCTGTTCTCTTGTATGCAAGAACAACTGATCTCTTTCAACCCCTTTCCACTCCAGCGTACCCTTCCAATGTATTATCTTTCTGTTTCTCTTGCTCTCACTTGGCAGTAGCAATATCTTACATCAAGCTATACTGCCTTAAACAAAGAACAAGTGACAAAGAAAAATAACGTCATCAGAGAATGAGATAAATAAGAGGAAGGAAAAGAGAGATGAAACTGTGGAAAGACCACATAAAGGCAAGAGATTTTTTAGGTATACTGATGTCCTTACAACTGGATAGGCCACTTTATCATAATCTAACACCTGTCATTACCTCTGATAACAATGCACATTTGTTCTAATCAAATTCCCACCTGCCCAGTAAAGGCAGACTTACTGTAGTGCCATTATGAACAAAAGCACACTGTGGGTCCTCTTTACTATTCATATCAATCCTCTGGGACTGTCTGAAATGCCACGGGGCCAGTAGAAACTCTATCTGCACTGAAAACCCATCGACAGGTTTTGAATAAAACATTAGTTCAGAGAGATTTAATGTTTTTTTTGCGTTTGACACAAGCTAGATAGGAGCAGAGGTTTTTAAAATTTGAATTGATCGAAAGACACAAGACTACAAAGATGAATTTTCCTCCTTTGTACCTTGTCTCTAAATTCCAAATATGGTCACATTAAATGATTGGTGAGAAAATGGTATCACACAATTAATATTAATGACATTATCCTCTGAACGTAAGCAACATCACTGATGGTACTCTCTTGGACCTGTGGGAAAGTTAAGTCCATAACAACAATCTGCTCTTTTGGATACGGGTTGTCAGACAACAGCTGCTCACCTGCGTTTTTGCTACACAGCTGGGAAGGTGAGCTCGGGGTTTGGGAGTGTTTAGCAAGTTCATTGAGCTGGACAGTTTTGTTCCAAAGCAGAGACCAGGGGAAGTAGGAGAG